GTTTGGGGTGTAGGAGGATGCTCCAGGCTGGACTGAGGGGTTTGGAGGGCAGGAGGGGCATCAGGGCTGGGGTAGGGTGTTGGGGCGGGGGAGGGGGTTGCAGGCTCCAGGCGGCGCTTACCATAGGTGTCTCCGGGAGCAGCGGCATATCCCCCTCTCCGGCTCCTATGCGGAGGTGTGACCAGGCGGCTCTGCATGCTGCCGTGTCCGCAGGTGCTACCTCTGTAGCTCCCATTGGCCATGGCTCCTGGCCAGTGGAAAGCTGTGGGGGCAGCGCTAGGGGCAGAGGCAGCATGCAGAGCCCCCTGGCTGTCCCTATGCATAGGAGCCGGAGGGGGCACATGCTAGCTGCTTCCTGGGAGCCATGTGGTGCGGAGGCTAGCAGGGAGCCTGCCAGCCCCACTGTGTGGTGCCACCAACCGGACAGTCAACAGCCCAGTCAGTAGTGCTAACCGGAGCTGCTGGGATTCCTTTTCGACTGGGTGTTCTGGTTGAAAACCAGACACTGGTCACCCTATAGGGAAGCCTAGAATGGTAATCTGAAAAGATCATTTTCTTCTGCAGATTTGGATTGGTAGGTGTAAGGCAGGAGGAGGATTGCCTGGAAATTATTTGTGCCTCATCCCAAGATCTGTGGGATCATCCCCACTGTCTTAGTGTCTTCATAGGCCCAAATAACCTTTGGACTTGTGAAACATCATTACATTGAGACACTGTTGCATTTTGCTGTGATGACATTTTAACGCAAGATGAGGAGCACAGACTGTATGGCAAGGCTAGTTTAAGTTACCCTGCTAAACCTGCAATCACAGCCACTCCAGAGCAGTGGTTCTCAACCAGGGGTACATATACTCATGAGGTCCAGGGGGGGCATCAACTCATCCGGATATTTGCCTAGGTTTACAACAAGCAACATAAAAAGCATTAGCAAAGTCAGCACAAACTAAAATTTCATACAGACAATGACTGCTCTATATACTATACATTGAAATGTAAGTGCAAAATTTATATTCCAATTGATTTATTTCATAATTATATAGTAAAAATGGAAGTAAGCAATTTTTCAATACTAGTGTGACACTTTTGTATTTTTATGTCAGATTTTGTAAGTAGTTTTAAGTGAGGTGTAACATGGGGGTACAGAAGCCAACTCAGACTCCTGAAAGCGGTACATAATCTGCTCCAGAGCTCCACCTTGCCAAGGTCAGGTTGAAATGCTAGTGGCTTGTTTACTGCTCATGCTCCAGCACTGCACAGTGTGGGCTATAAGGCGCTTTGTAATAACTGAACACTCTGAGGCATTAATGCCATGAACCAGGCTGCTCCTTTCTTTATCATACCCTGGTTGGGGCATGTGGGTAGACTCTCCCCCCCTTACTCTGCATGGGCACTAGTCTAATGGTCAGAGCCTGAGTCAAGACCCAAGCAGGATAGGAGCACTAGGGCCAAGGCAGGTACAGAATCATAGAATATCAGGGTTGGAAGAGACCTCAGGAGGTCATCTAGTCCACCTCCCTGCTCAAAGCAGGCCCAATACCATCTAAATCACAGGAACAAGTGGGGCTGCTGGTCCTATGGTAGGTCTGGCAAGCAGGGCTGGCTCTAGCTTTTTTGCTGCCTCAAGCAGCAAAAAAAAGCGCCGCCCCCGAGCCCCCCGCAGCCGAGCGGCCGCGCCG